GGCTAATTTTTATATTTTTAGTAGAGACGAGGTTTCACCTTGTTGGTCAAGCTGGTCTTGAACTCCTGACCTCAGGTGATTTACCCACCTTGGCCTCCCAAAGTGCTGGGATTACAAGCGTGAGCCACGGTGCCCAGCCCTTTTATGAATATTTTAAGATTAAGTCATAACAAAGTATAGGTTATAGTCATCACAAAATCATCACAGAAAATGAGCTAAAAGAAGTAAAAGATGGCACTACTGTAATTTAACTATTGAAATATCTTCATTAAAATTTCACATTTTTATTTTGAAAAATTTTACAGACCAAGTGCGGTGGCTGATGCCTGTAATCTCAGCACTTTGGGAGACTGAGGTGGGCGGATCACAAGGTCAAGAGATCCAGACCATCCTGGCCAACATGGTGAAACCCTGTCTCTACCAAAAACACAAAAATTAGCTGGGCGTGGTGGTGCGTGCCTGTACTCCCAGCTACTCGGGAGGCTGAGGCAGGAGAGTCATTTGAACCTGGGAGGCAGAAGGTCCAGTGAGCCAAGATCGTGCCACTGCACTGCAGTCTGGTGACAGAGCGAGACTCTCTCAAAAAAAAAAAAAGAAAAATTTCCAATCCAAAAACCAACAGGGGCTGGGCGCAGTGGCTCATGCCTGTAATCCCAGCACTTTGGGAAGCTGAGGCAGGCGGATCACCTGAGGTCAGGAGTTTGAGACCAACGTGGCCAACATGGTGAAACCCCGTCTCTTCTAAAATACAAAAATTAGCTGGGTGTGGTGGCACATGTCTGTAACCCCAGCTACTTGGGAGGCTAAGGCATGAGAATTGCTTGGACCTGGGAGGCATAGGTTGCAGTGAGCCGAGATGGTGCCACTGCACTCCAGCCTGGGTGACAGAGTTAGACTCCGTCTCAAAAACAAAACAGAACAAAACAAAACAACAGGAAGATTTCCCTGAATTTTCTAAATAAATTGCTTTAGCTTTAAAATGGTGCTTAGCTTACAAATAGAACTAAACAACAAATCTACTGGTATAAATGTATGTAAAGCATTGGTATATCCAGTTATTCCTAATTATAATACATAGATTGATCAGTGTCAAGCTATGAAAAACCCTTCTGTTATATCATAGTACAATGTACACAGATTCAGACTAAGAGTCAGATAATGTATATTCTAGTATCAGCTATGCTAGTGCCTCGTAATGTGCCCTTGAGACAAGTCACTTAATCTGGGGTTCATTTTTATTTTTTTTGAAGATGGAGTCTCACTCTGTCACCAGGCTGGAGTGCAGTGGCGTGATCTTGGCTCACCGCAACCTCTGCCTCCCAGGTTTAAGCAATTCTCTGGTAATTTTTGTATTTTTAGTAGAGACAGGGTTTCACCATCTTGGCCAGGCTGGTCTTGAACTCCTGACCTTGTAATCCACCGTGCTCAGCCTCATTTTTCTTTTTCTTTTTGAGACAGGGTTTGAATCTGTCGCCCAGGCTGGAGTGCAGTGCTGCGATCTCACCTCACTACAACCTCTGCCTTCTGGGCTCAAGCCATCCTCCCACCTTGGCCTCCCCAGTAGCTGGGACTACAGGTGCATGCCACCATGCCCACCTAGTTTTTATATTTTTTGCAGAGGCGGGGTTTTGCCACATTGCCCAGGCTGGTCTCACATTACTGAGCTCAACTAATCCGCCTGCCCTGGCTTCCCAAAGTGCTGGGATTACAGGTATGAGCCACCATACCATGCCTGGCCCATCTTTCTTAAAGGAATGAGTCCGGATCAGCCATTTTCAAATTCTTCCAAAAAAAAAAAATTTTTTTTTTTTCCTGAAAACTCAATATAAAAGATGCTCTTGTTAAAGTGAGATATGGAGATGAGAATTCTGCCTTTTCATCTTTCCAACTCTCCTGCAGTGGCACTGACGAATTGCCTTGGATTAGAGTTTGAAAATCACTAGGCTAATCTTCCGTGGTTCTTTAGCCTTCTACTATATGACTCTCCTACCAAAGTCCAAAGCCTGACAAAATTAACCTTAGAAAACAGTCCCTTACTAAAGGAAAAAGGCAGCTCTGGGATCGTATCTAATTACAATCATTGACAACTTCATGGCATTTCAAGCATACATAGGGCCACACAGGAGAAGCTATCTATAAAATTTGCATATATGCCAAAAGTCATTCCTACCAGACCTAATCTAGCCCAAACGACAGAAATCATATTCTTCTGTAGCAGAAAAATACTGTATCTAAAATTTCCTCAATGTTCATTTTACATATAAAGCCAAACAAATTTAATTAATGAGCACTCCAAAATTAACAACAGTCCTAGATACAAACTGTAAAAGTGTGTTGGCTCTCAACCTGCAGCAATCACCACATTCAACCTATACCATCTATAGAAAGTTATAATTTCCTAAGACAAAGGCTATAAAAAGGCCTTTAGGAAATGAAAAACCAATGAAATGCATTTTTAATTGTGTTAAATAAAGTAATATGCTAAAATATATTCTTTAACTCTTTATCTATCATATGGCATTTTTAAGAAACTGTAAATATCATTCTAGGATCTGCTTAGTGATAGTCACTTGGGTACATCACACCACGAGAATATAGCCAAATTATATCCAGTATTTTATGACTAACTGCAACAGATATATTTATTGTCATCATAATCTAGAATTAAGTGCATACAATTCTAACACTAGACAATGATCCAACAAATACACAAAACTATTCTATATAAAGAGGATGCTCTTGTTCCCATACTTTGAAGGGCTTTTTAGTTCATAAGACTAAAGAGAGGAACTGATGTATTAAATATAAGATTTTTTAAATTGGTAGTCAAAATCTCTCAGGTTTGATATAAAAACAGGGAGACCAAGGGCCAAAGAAATTAGATCTTCTCAAAGACAGATAATTTTACAGGCAATGCCAGAGGAAACACATATTCAAAATTTCAACTTCTTTACCATATTATGAAGCAACATAGCACAGTTGTAATGAGTCTCTAGATCAGACTGCTTGAGCTTGTATCCCATCAATTCCTTGTTAGCCATGTTTCTTCAAACTAAGCCTCAGTTTCTTTATATGTAAAATGCAGAAAATAGTATCTACCTCAAAAGAGTAAATTTATTTATTTGAGACAGAGTCTCTCTCTATTGCCTAGGCTGGTGTCGCGATTTCGGATCACTGCAACCTCTGCCTCCTGGGTTCAAGGGATTATTGTGCCTCAGCCTGTATGGGATTACAGGCATGCGCCACCATGCCTGGCTAATTTTTGCATTTTTAGTAGAGATGGGGTTTCACCATCCATGTTGGTCAGGCTGGTCTTGAACTTCTGACTTTAAGTGATCCACCCACCTCAGCCTCCCAAAATGCTGGGATTACGGGCATGAGCCACTGCGCCTAGCCTTGTTTTATTTTTTGTAGAGACAAGGGTCTCACTATGTCACCCAGGCTAAATATTTTCAAAGACAGCATTAAAACTTTTATTTAGTGGCCAATATTATTTAGAGAGATACACCTCATATTTATACACAGTCCTATATAGGCAATAGTTATTTTAAAAACTCACAGATCAATCATGAAAGTGTAATGGCAGCTGGGCACAGTGCCTCAAGCCTGTAATCCCAGCACTTTGCGAGGCCAAGGCAAGTGGATCACCTGAGGTCGGGAGTTCAAGACCAGCCTGACCAACATGGAGAAATCCTGTCTCTACTAAAAATACAATATTAGCCGGGTGTGGTGGTGCATACCTGTAATCCCAGCTACTCAGGAGGGTGAGACGGGAGAATCGCTTGAACCCGGGAGGCGGAGGTTACAGTGAGCCAAGATTGCGCCATTGCACTCCAGCCTGGGCATCAAGAGCAAAACTCCGTCTCAAAAAAGAAAAGAGAAGAGAAGAGAGTGTAATGGCAATTCAAACACCAACCATTGCTTATATATATTTTTCCTTTATAATACTAATTTTCCCATACCATTTCCTTTTTACCACACTTTTATTTTCCACCATGACTTCCAAAACTACACAATTCAAATCTGGAATTAAATACAGCTTTATGTCTTGTATTGTTAGAATTTGATCAATAACTCTATAATGTTGGCCATTAATAAATGTAATAGCTAAAAGAATATCATTTAATTGACTAAATTATCTGAGATGACAATAGGGGTCATATTGCTTAAAATGGTCTTAATAAGGGACCTATGGTGGTTAGCACTCAAGTTAGATATAAATATATTTTTGCTTGAATTCAGGCTGTAAAATCAAAAGGCAACAAACATCAGTGCATACTCATCAATATCCTGTTGCTTCAGAGACCAGGCAAAAAGGAAGATGACCTTGAATTATCTAAGGTCAACAAAACTACCTGACTGGAGGAATGTCCCATCCTTCTGTACCAATATTCTGATATCAAGATGTCTCCTAACAGTTCTTTCTTACTGTGAATTTTTATGTAACACACTCAAGTATTGTTTAATCAAGTTTCTGGTCCTAAATCTCATATATGGTAAAGTTCAGGGTATTATTCAGGAGGCCAAATCAATCTCTTATTAGAAATGCTTAACATTTCCTCTGACTGAGGTGAATCCTAAACAAAATAGTGAACATACTGTTTTAAAAATATGTAAGGGTTTGCCCCAAGAATTATTCCTGCATTAACATGTAGCATACAACTGACTCTAGATATTTAAGCGTACAGAACTTAAAGGGCAAATTACCTAGTTCAAACTATTAAGTAAAATTTTACTTAACTCTGATGTAAAAACTGTCAGATCTAAAATGAAATCAGCAGTAGTATTTTCATTTTAAAATATTAATTACAATTAAAGTATTTCCTGGCCAGGCGCAGTGGCTCACGCCTGTAATCCCAGCACTTTGGGAGGCCAAGGCGGGTGGATCACCTGAGGTCAGAAGTTCAAGACCGGCCTGGCCAACACAGTGAAACCCCGTCTCTATTAAAAACAATACAAAAATTAGCTGGGTGCGGTGGTGGGTGTCTGTAATCCCAGCTACTTGGGAGGCTGAGGCAGGAGAATCGCTTGAACCTGGGAGGCGGAGGTTGTGGTGAGCCAAGATCATGCCAATGCACTCCAGCCTGGCAACAGAGTGAAACTCCATCTCAAAAAAAAAAAAAAAAAAAAAAAAAAAAAAGTATTTCCTTAGTTAGGGGCAAAAAAACCCCAAAAAACAAAGAAACAGTGCTACAGTGCTAGTTAGCAGAATCTCTTGGAATTACAGATACTGGTCAATGAAATCTATAATGCTCCTAAATCATAGGGAAAGTCTAAAGGAATAAAAGCAAGATAGATCGAGGGAAAATATCTTTAAGGTTGTCACAGGTTATATCAAAACAAAATTTTTATAACATAATCCATATGTTGTTAGCATATGATTCAATATCAGGCAACCTGAACAACTATATTTTATAAGCATAAAAGCCAATTTAATTTAAAATTAGCCTTCAAAAATTAGTTTCACTACAAAACTACTATGGTTCAATCAGCAATAATGTTGAACTCTGACCTTTGGTGTCAGCATCAGTTAATTGCTCTTTGGCTACTTCCTCTTCTTCTTCAGCTATTGCCTGGAAGATTGCAGTCAGGAAGAAAAAAAGCAATTCACACAGTGGGCCTTCACTGTCATTTCCTACAAGAGCTTCCTCTAATACTTCTGTGAATAAAATGTTTAAAATGAATTTAAAGTTCTGTTCATGTACTGAAAAAACAACTCCACTGGAATAAACATGTAATCAACAATAGTATGTGCACCTATTTTCTTAAGCATCAATTTATGAAAGTATAACCAAGTATTATCCAAGCCAAAATAAGAAACAATTTATAATGATTACAATACAATACAATAAAATCATAAGCCAAAGTCACCTCATTCAAGTAGGTCAAAATAGCCTCAATAGATCAACATATTTCATTTAAATTTAAGGCACGAATTAAGGCACATTTTAAAAATTATAGTTTTATTCTAATCTGAACAATGCAAATATTTGTTATTGTGCCACTGTTCTTGAGGGCTATATATGTGCAAATAGTGAATAGGAGAGGTCATTATCCGCATTAGGTTTTAATCCTAATATTGTGTCTAAGTCATAAATAAATGTTTCTTATCTAATTCATCTCACCTAAACCAGCACTGTTTAGACCTCCTTGATCTATAAGGCACAGTGATTCTTGCCTCATCCGGCTCATAAGGAGAAATAAAAGAATTTGAAAGCCCCCCTAAAGAATACACTTTTATTAAAATAAGAGTGGCATTATAGGCTGGGCACAATGGCTCACGCCTATAATGAGCCGAGGCTGAGGCAGGCGGATCACGAGGTCAGGAGATTGAGACCATCCTGGCTAACACAGTGAAACCTCATCTCTACTAAAAATACAAAAAAATTGGGCCGGGCGCAGTGGCTCACGCCTGTAATCCCAGCGCTTTGGGAGGCCAAGGTGGGCAGATCACAAGGTCAGGAGTTCAAGACTAGCCTGGCCAAAATGGTGAAACCCTTTGGCCTCTACTAAAAATACAAAAATTAGCTGGGCATGGTGGCGGGTGCCTGTAATGCCACCTACTCGGGAGGCTGAGGCAGAGAATTGCTTGAACCTAGGAGGTGAAGGTTGCAGTAAGCCAAGATTACGCACTACACTCCAACCTGGGTGATAGAGCGAGACTCTGTCTCAAAAAATAAATAAATAAATAAATAAATACAAAAGAAAAAGAAAAAAATTAGCCAGGCCCGGTGGCAGGCGCCTGTAGTCCCAGCTACTTGGGAGGCTGAGGCAGAAGAATCGCTTGGACCCTGGAGGTGGAGCTTGCAGTGAGCTGAGATCTCACCACTGCACTCAGAGCAAGACTCTGTCTCAAGAAAAAAAAAAAGAGTGGCATTATAATTCTCTATTTCAAAGTCTCTACACAGATTTTAAGAAAATTATTTTTCCATGTGACAGCCAAAAATTCAAAATCTGATCCAAATCTCTCCTTATACTAAACGCATTATAAATGTTTATACAAAGTAAAAGTATGTAAGTACACAGGCCAAAGAGAATTACAAATTAAAGGTAGGCAATAGCCTGTCTGCAAACACCCATATACCACTCCCTGCTCAAGAAGTGGAGTCTATTCCACCATCCTGTTGAATCCCAAGGTGGCCTCTCACTGCTCTGACCAATGGAATGTGGCAGAAGTAAGGTTGTGCCAATTCCAGGCCTAGGCTTTAAGAGGGCTAGCAGTTTCTGCTTCCTGCTTCTTAGAGTCCCCAGGTGCCACATAATAAGTATGAGATACTCTGATGAGATGAAAGGCCACATGAAGAGGACCAAGGCACCAGAACCTGTGTGAGAAGAAGCCATTTTGAACATCTAGCTAGACCAGAGAGATCCCAACTCCAGTGTCCCCACAGAACTTTACGAGATGGCTTGTGTTTTTAAAGGCACTAAGTTTAGGATGAACTATAATGTAGCAATAGATAACTAGAGCACTTGCCTAGGGTTACTCCATCAGGAAACTCATCTTGAAGATCAAAAAGTTCCCCAAATGCATTAAGGAACTCCAAAACCATCAGAGCATCACCAAAGATTTCAGGAGGTAGTCTAGTTTTCACTGGTGTTGGTTCTGGAAGTTCCTGAAAGATTAAACAATTTATATAACTATGTAAACCAAGAAAAGGAAAACTTAAAAGGTAGAGATGACATACTTTTTACCTAACTATTAAGCATTATTCTTTGTAAGCTACTGGTTCTCAACCCTGGCTGTTTATCACAATCACCTTTGAAACTTCTAAAATTATAAATGTCCTGAACTTGTTCCAACTTTACTAAATCACAGTTCCTGAGAAGGGACTGGGAGAAAGGAACATTTTCCTTCCTTTTACTAAGAATAAAACTTTAGGCTGAGTGTATTTCTGACTATATTTCCTGGTAAGAGTCTCTTAACCCACATTTTGAAGTCAAATCAGCTGTGAAATACTACCTTCAATGTACTATCTCCTTATGATTTGGAACATAATTAATCTACCATCCACTGATTTAGAAATTGTTCTTTATAAGCCAAGTTGAATGAGTTTGATTTGGACACTTTGGCCATTTCTGGAAACAGGCAGAATCCTTACCTAGCAATCAAGCTAAATGCATGCCTGGCTACAGTGGTTTTTGGATTATTAAGGATTACACAAACTGACCTATTATTTCTACAGAATAAGATCCATTATCAAAGCTGATTATAAAACACTAACAATACTACCTTGGAATTCTAAGTGTGAACATTTGCTTAACTAGCTATTTTCTCTCGGTTAAATATAAAGCAAAGAGGCTGCTATTAAATAAAAGAATGATTTCATCAGCAAAGCCACATAAGGCATGTAAAACCTATGTGTGCCAAACATCACATAACATGTTTATACCTTAAGGTCATCACATTCCATATCTTCTCTAGGTTTACTCCACTGTTTTAAGTATTCCACATATTTTCGCTTTTCTTCACGTAACTTCTCTCTTTCCTAAAAATTTTTAAAAGTTAGTAACAATTCATGTAAGAAATTTACATGGCAACATTGGCATCTCCTGAGAACTCGTTAGAAATGCAAATAGTTGGACCTTACCCCACACCTACTGAAGCAGTAACTCTGAGGTTTGGACTTAGCAATTGGTGTTCTAGCAAGCCCTCCTGGTGGTTTTTAATACATGCTAAGGTTTTAGAACCACTGATCAAAATAATACCTATCAAAATAATGCTATAAAGACTGAAAATGGGCCGAGTGCAGTGGCTCACACATGTAATTCCAGCACTTTGGGAGTCAGAGTCAGGTGGATCACTTGACGTCAGAAGTTCGAGACCAGCCTGGCCAAAATGGCGAAACTCCATCTCTACTAAAAATACAAATATATATATATATTTTTATATGATACAAATATATTTATATAAAAATATATTTTAAAAAATACAAATACATTTATTTTTTAAAATTTTTTAAAAATAAGTCTATAATATAGACTTATTTTATATATGTATATAAAAATAAGCTGGGCATGGTAGCACGTGCCTGTCATTCCAGCTACTCGGGAGGCTGAGGCAGGAGAAGCACTTGTACCCGGGAGGAGAGGGTTGCAGTGAGCTGAGATCACACCACTGCACTCCAGCCTGGGCAGCTCTTGAATAAATATTAATTTAATCTGACTTGATCTATAGCTTTCCCTCTACTTCCTATCAATAAGATCCTAGCAAAATAAATTATTAGACTGCCTAAAATGAAACTTCCCCTTATATTTGTAATACATTTGTTATTTTCAAGATTCATTTGAATCTGATAACAGCCTAGAGACACAAAGAGGGAACAATAATTAAAAGCAACAATATTAGAATAGATGGACTTCTTTCTTGTAATTTAGGCTATTTCTCTTACTCACTTGGTCTTTTGAAACTCTTACTTTTTGATTCTGGTGTTTGAAATTGCAAGATAAATATTAACTGCTAAATGTCTCTAATAAAGCAGTATAAATAAAATATTTTACTATTTTTTCCAGTAAGTATATTTAATATGTTATTATATTATTCTCTTCTTTGAAATTTAGGAACAACAGAGGTAAACAGATGTACACATCAAATTTTCAACGTAAAATGGCCTAGATAGTTACGGAACTTGCTGTAACTTGAATAGTCTGCTTAAATAAATTATCCACCCCCAACCTCAGAAATAATTCTTATAGGATCAAATAAGGTTAGCATTCTAATTCATTGTTGTGAACAGTGTAAATAAGCACATGCTTGGGAAATACTTAGTGATGTATATGTATAGAAAGTTTTGAAAATATTCTTACCCTTTGATTTATTCTACTTCTACAAATTTATCCTGGGACATAGTCCAAAAAAAAGAAGACTTTATTCAGAAATTTGAACACAGCAGTATTATTTAAAGCACTTGGACTATTTAATGAGTTATGCAGTCATTAAAAATTCCACTTAAGATTATTTAATAACATGAAAGAATGTTTATGATCATGTTAGATTAAAAAAAGCATATAAAACTTTAAATGGTGAGTGATCTGTTTTTTTAAGGCACAGGATAAAGACTAGAAATAAACAAATCAAAGTGTTAATTCTATCTCTGGCCAGGTGCGGTGGCTCATGCCTGTAATCCTAGCACTTTGGGAGGTTGAGGTGGGCAGATCACTTGAGGTCAGGAGTTTCAGACCAGCCCGGCCAACATGGTGAAACCCCATCCCTAGTAAAAATACAAAAATTAGCCAGGCATGGTGGTGGGCACTTCTAATCCTAGCCACTCGGGAAGCTGAGGCAGGAGAACTGCTTGAATCTGGGAGGCAGAGGTTGCAGTGAGCCCAGATCAAACCACTGAACTTCAGCCTGAGCAAGAGAGTAACACTCAGTCTCAAAAAAAAAAAAAAAAGTGTTAATTCTATCTCTAAATGTTACCATCAGATTTCTGGTGATTTTTCTGTTCTCTATGTTTTCTGGCGTAAACTTATATTAGACCTTCTACACCAACTCAATGGTCTATTTGACAAACATTTGGTTTCCATTCCAAGATGGCCGAATAGGAACAGCTCCGGTCTGCAGCTCCCAGTGTGATCAACGCAGAAGATGGTGATTTCTGCATTTCCAACTGAGTTACCTGGTTCATCTCATTGGGACTGGTTGGACAGTGGGTGCAGCCCATGGAGGGCAAGCTGAAGCAGGGTGGGGCATCGCCTCACCTGGGAAGCACAAGGGGTTAGGGGATTTCCCTTTCCTAGCCAAGGCACGCCATGACAGACTGCACCTGGAAAACTGGGACACTCCTGCCCAAATACTGCGCTTTTCCAACGGTCTTAGCAAACAGCACACCAGGAGATTATATCCTGCGCCTGGCTCAGCGGGTCCCACACCCACAGAGCCTTGCTCACTGCTAGCGCAGCAGTCTGAGATTGACTTGCGAGGCAGTAGCCTGGCTAGGGGGAGGGGTGTCCCCCATTGCTGAGGCTTGAGTAGGTAAACAAAGCGGCTGGGGAAGCTCAAACTGGGCAGAGTCCACTGCAGCTCTGCAAAGCCTGCTGCCTCTGGGGGCAGAGCATAGCTGAACAGAAGGCAGGAGAAACTGCTACAGACTTAAACGTCCCTGCCTGGCAGCTCTGAAGAGAGCAGTGTTTCTCCCAGCACGGTTTTTGAGCTCTGAGAACAGACAGACTGTCTCCTCAAGTGGGTCCCTGACCCCTGTGTAGCCTAAATGACACCTCATACAGGTAGGTGCCCCTCTGGGATGAAGCTTCCAGAGGAAGGATCAGGCAGCAATATTTGCTGTTCTGCAGGCTCCGCTGGTGATACCCAGGCAAGCAGGGTCTGGGGTGGACCTCCAGCAAACTCCAACAGACCTGCAGCTGAGGGACCTCATTCTCAGAAGGAAAACTAACGAACAGAAAGGAATAGCATCAACATCAACAAAAAGAACATCCACACCAAAACCCCACCTGTAGGTCACCAGCATCAAAGACCAAAGGTAGATAAAGACCACAAAAATAGGGAGAAACCAGAGCAGAAAAGCTGAAAATTCTAGAAACCAGAGTGCCTCCTCTTCTCCAAAGGATCACAGCTCCTCGCCAGCAACAAAACAAAGAGGGACAGAGAATGACTTTGACGAGCTGACAGAAGTAGGCTTCGAAAGGTCAGTAATAACAAACTTCTCCAAGCTAAAGGAGGATGTTCAAACCCATCACCAAGGAAGCTTAAAAACCTTGAAAAAAGGCTAGACGAATGGCTAACTAGAATAAACAGTGTAGAGAAGACCTTAAATGACCTGATGGAGCTGAAAACCATGGCACGAGAACTATGTGACACATACACAAGCTTCAATAGACAATTCAATCAAGTGGAAGAAAGGGTATCAGTGATTGAAGATCAAATTAATGAAATAAAGCAAGAGGAGAAGTTTAGAGAAAAAAGAGTAAAAAGAAATAAAGTCTCCAAGAAATATGGGACTATGTGAAAAGACCAAATCTATGTCTGATTGGTGTACCTGAAAGTGATGGGGAGAATGGAACCAAGTTGGAAAACACTCTTCAGGATATTATCCAGGAGAACTTCCCCAGCCTAGCAAGGCAGGCCAACATTCAAATGCAGGAAATACAGAGAACACCACAAAGACACTCCTCGAGAAGAGCAACCCCAAGACACATAAATGTCAGATTCGCCAAGGCTGAAATGAAGGAAAAAATATTAAGGGCAGCCAGAGAGAAAGGTCGGGTTACCCACAAAGGGAAGCC